GGTACTATTCACAGTACAAACACAGCTTCTGCAAACCATTTCTTTTCTGTCCTGGTATATTTCCCCGTATAGACCCATAATGTTAGAGCGTTTTTGCAAATCCAGTAATTTTACTGGTTTATGCAAACCGTTTCTTTTTTGTCCTGGTATGTGTTCTAATATAGACTTAGACTGTTCAATCGTTTTGTTTTTAAATTCCGATTCATTTCCTGATTTATGCAAACCGTTTTTCAGATTCCCAGGTTTGTTTTCCCTACTGTAATCGTACTGTTGTTTTGGTAAGGCATACTGTGCATACCTGTGCAGAGATGGGACTGCCTGCAAAGATTGATATCAAATGAACATATCATGTAGTATCTGCGGATAAAGAGTTTATCGAGTGTCAGAAAACAAGCGACTTCACAGCTAAAATAACCAACTACGCAGATTTTTGTCAAAAACGTTTTCGTTCAAGCTGGTATAAATGCCTTCAAACCTTGCTGTAAGAAGCGTGCAGACAATGCAGAAAATATACACGTGTGATAAAAATAAACATACTACAGTTCGTTAATTCTTTAGTCCGGGAGCCGCGACGACTTAAAGTGAACCTATGGGAACAATCAAACAGCATATGAAGAGATTATGTGACCAATCAAACAGCGTCAGGAGAACAAAGTCGTGGAGTTCATGTTTCTGAACATATTCAATTATGGGAATACGAATCAAGTGCAAACAAGAAACTAGGACTTGCACTCTTATTAATGCGAAAGTATTATATGTCTCATAGAGTGAAGCCGGCGAAAACGGCACGTTAATTCTCGGTGGCTGAGCGAAACGGCCCCTAAATTCACATTGGCTGGGCGATACGGTACCTAAATGCACATTCCCAACAAAACACAAAGAAAAGCACAGCAACGCAGATGCTTCGTCATGGAAGCCGGCGGGTGCACTCAAGGTCAACGGGACGCGCCTCAGAATTAAAACACAAAGAAAAGCTCAGCAACACAATGCTTCGTCACGGGAGCCGTCGTGAAGCCGGCTGGGTTTGCCGCGCCGGCGCCGTGGGGAAGCATGATGTCACCGCCGGAGCGCCTTGTGCGAAATAAAGAAATGGCGGGCTGCTTGTAGGATTGAGCTGCCTGTACGAGTGCTTTCGGATTTTTACAAGCAGTCTTAAGTGTCTTTTTGAATGTGTTTATGTGTGTTCCTGGTTGATTGTGTTCGTGCTTTCGACTGCTGCTAAACAAACAATAAAACGAAGTAGAATGAAAACCTGGCTAAACGTCTATGGACTTAACTCAAGGAGTTTCCACAGATCCACCAGTTTTTTTTATTCAAATATGATACCCTTTTCTTTTTTCTTGCCCATGTAGCTTTCATTCCAAGATCACTAATCACTTTCTATTGGCAGTGGTTTGAAAACTGTTATTATTATTATTATTATTAATATTATTAATATTTAATAGTCCCACCGACTCAATAAAATGTATGTATGTATGTATTATAATCATTAATATTACTACTGCATGTGGATGTGGATGAGGGAATGGTTCAGGAATACATAAGAAAGCTGAAGCCTACCATGTCCTCAGGTCACGATGGTATTCCAGCAGCACTTGAAAAAGCTTTTCACGAAATTTTCACACCCATCCTCTATGACATTTTCAACAACTCCCTACGAGCAGGAGTGTTTCCTGGCATGTGGAGAAAGTCAGTCGTTGTCCCAGCCTTCACCTTTGGAAGTCGTACCACTGTGTCAAACTACAGGCCAGTTTCTCTGCTATGTATATTTTCGAAGCATTTTGAAATGGTAGTCCACAAAACATTGTCCTTGCGTTTAAAAAAATGTGTTAAGTTCCAACCAACAGGGATTTGTATCAGGACGCTCGACATCAACAAATTTGATTTCATTTATGCCCATTGCATCCAAAGATGTGTGCCGCAGAGGCCAGCTTGACGTAGTCTCCTTTGATCTGAGTAAGGCCTTTGGCGTGGTTGACCATGGCATTCGTTTATCAAAACTTCGTGGTATTGGTGTCTGTGGAGGGCTACACAAGTGGTTTCAGAATTATTTGCCTAATTGAACATGTGTTGTGTTGCTCATGCGAACGGCGCGCCTTCTTTTACGTACAAGGCCACGTCTGGGGTACCTCAGGGATCAGTTCTGGGCCCTCTTCTTTTTCTATTTTTGTAAACGACGTGTGTAAGCAGAATGTAAACACTTTTTTGCAATATACTGATCATATTAAGCTATTTAAGGAGATCGAAACTGTCTCAGATTGCAAGTTTCTACAAGAGGACATAAACTCATTTAGCAAATGGTTTTCACTGTACGGTCTTCTACTAAACAGCTTGAAAACCAAGGTCATGTCCTATAGTCGCAAAACGCAAACATCATGTTTCCCTTACAGTGTTCTCTCGGACGTATTGCGCCGTTCTAGTGAAGTGCGAGACTTGGGAGTACTTTTTGACTCCTCCTTGAGATTCGATAGCCATGTGGCTCGTATAAGTACCTGCGCCTTGCGCGCGCTCGGTGTTGTTTGTCGAACGACTAGAGTATTTAAAAATATCCGCAACGTTTGTAACCCTGAACCGCTTTTTGACAAGGTCTCAACTCAAACACCCATCTCCTGTATGGAATGGTGGCTGTAAAACTACCCTCCTATGGTTGGGGCGAGTGCAAACCCAATTTTTATCCATTTATCGATATCGATATCGGCGCGATGAAACATCTCTATCACAGAGTATCAGTGCATTGTACGTCTTACAAATAAACAGCTTATATCACCGCAGAGAAAAAGCAGACCAGGTTTTCCTTTCCAAAGTCCTTCGTGGCATGGCCGACTGTTCAGAACTGCCCTCACAGACATCTTTACGAGTTCCTCGGACAGCGACCCCTTTGACAACATCTTTTTACTCTCCTCAGATGTTAAATATCCTGGGCCCCATGTTTCGTATGTGTAGGACATATAATGGCATTGCAAGTCATCTCAATATTTTTTGTGGAAATGAATTTGTCAGATCTCTCAGAGTCGTTTATGAGTCTTGCTGAACCTGTCGTGATTGTAATTTTTTTTATATAACATTTTAATAAGGTATATTCGTTTTTGCGACAGTCTTCTACCCTCCGTTTGGACCCTGTGTTCCGTTTTTTGCTTGTAGTGTAGGTCGTATCTTTCCGTCAGCATGCGTGATAGGTATCATGTGTTTTACTCAATGCTTTCAGTTTCTTTAATGTTTATTTTATTTTTATTTCTTAAACTTTTATTGCGGTGTGTAAGTTTCGGGGTGGCAGGGTTGTTCCTGGACACTTAATAAAATAAACTTAATTTTTAATTCTTTATTAAATTATTACTGCGTGCCTTTCATTTCCCAGGTGTACAAAATTTGTTTTTTCAAATTGTAATTACGTGCTGTTCATCGAATAATATATTGTACCAAACCACGTGTTTTCTTTTTTGTTTCATTTTAGAATTTTAATTGAGTTTTTATGTAATTGTACACTGTAGCAAGCCATTTTTTTCATTTTTAACGCTGATTTTTGTGCACTATTGCAGGGGCCGATGATCCGTCAATCCGTCTCGTATTTTGTTTTCAGTCTTTCTTTTCATCAATTCAGGAAGAGACAAATTGTTTGTATGGTATTGTCCTACCATACGTTTATTTTAGTGTTGTTTTAGCTTTCTTATTATTTGAAACTGGAACCAGTAGCTCACGATAATACCTTTACAGTCCCCGAATCAACTGATTGCGAACTAATTCGATGCTTGATTTTGTATCTGATCCTCGTAATGATAAAAAAGAAAACGGAGAAAAAAATATCGTCTATGGCCAACGAAAGACCCCAGGGATAAAGTTCTCGTTATCCTCATTTTGTGATTAGAGGTTTATGCCCTCTGAAACTTAGTTATCGGGCTGTCTCTCAGGGAACAGTACTACAGAAATGAAAAGAGTGAGTACCCTTGGGGTGATTGCCTTCCCTTTAAATCTGGGGATTTTAACCACTCTTTCACAAAGCTTGTGTTCCCGCCTTATTTTGTTTCTTTATTAAGCTATTTGTTTAGTACGTGCGGTCATCAATACATTAGGATTAGCTGAGACTCTAATACGTATTATGAACATTTGGAATGCTTATACATAGCTTTAGCTGTGTTGAACATGCTGAACACATAAAGTTAGCATTCTTACTAGAGAGTTTTATGCAATTCCATCATAATCAAACTTGCGAGCTTAAGAGCAAAGTCAAATGAAACGAAACCGCGTTGCCTTTTTAAAGTGGCATGTTTTCAGGATATTGCATTGTCGGTCTTTGCTGATAAACGAACTAGAGTATTGCAATTTTGCTGACAACCTTACACGGTTAGGACTTGTGACAGCTCAATAGGCAGATTGAGCCCCACTCCCCTCCCCCTCCTCTTCCCCCTCTCCGTGAATAATTCTTAGGAGCTGACATCCCACCCAAAGTAAGTCAACAAATCGAAGACGCACGAATGAGGTTCAGAGGGAGGGCATTTCTCCGACTTTCCTGCCCGAGTACCAAATTGATAGTCATACAAAGTCTTTTAATGGAAGGCCAATTTCGGGCACATGTGTACATGAAAGATAACGCTAAGGTAGCCTCAGCAATTATGTTTTTGCACCCGCCGTCAGCTCAACTCGCGGAGCGTCGCCTCTCCTCCAGGCGCCAAACTGTCCGTCTCCAAATCCCTTTTGGCAGACAGCGAATCAAATTTCAATGGAAGCGGCGACGTAGTGACGTCAGACGCGACGATCCGCTTTCTGGGAGACGGTCACCATTCCCCTAATCCTTTTCCCTATTTCTCCCCTTATTCTTTTCTCCCTACGCACTCTCCCGCTCACCCGCGCCATCTCTCAGCGCTCTCCCGAAGCCTCGCTCCCTTTTCAACAGGTGGAAAGGGCCAGCGGAGAGGGCCGGCTTCCGCGGCGCTCCCGCCGGCCAATGACGCGTCGGCGCGGTAGCCGTCACGTGGGTAGGAGGGCGCACCATATAAGCGGCCCGGCTCGGAGTTTGAACACAACGTCGGACCAGCAATCCGGACTTCGACAACTTTGACCTCGCCTGAAGCACAACATCGGTGAGTCACGCTCCCTATGGGGTACTCTTCATTCGCGATCTTTCTTTTGTTTAGAGTGGGTGGGTGGAAAGAGATAGGCTGCGTTCCTTCTAGGCTGGAAAGTTCGCACGTTTGTCTTTAGCCAAGGACCTCACCTTTAGAAATTGAAATAAAACAGTAAATGTTTAAGTAAGCAAATGTATATTTAGAACATGATACTATACTGTGCAGAAAAGGTTTTACTGACCACGTGCGTGAATAAGCATTTTAGGGTTGTACAGTGAAACGCTGGACAAACCGAAAATTCCGGATTTACGAATTGACGTATTCTTCTGCCACCGTCTTTATGTATTTACACGTGATAGTGTTCAACCCTGTTACGGTAATCATAAATTGTAATTATTCGTAGTAAGTCAAACGCCCATAACTATTTTATATTACTTAGATGAGGATTAAACGGACCCTCATATGACTATGCCTTTCTGCGGTTGAAGCTAAAAATTACAATTAAAGGCACCTTGAGAATGCTTACATATTCTCGTTTTAATTGTTTTCAAAAATACTATTTTGAATAAAAAAACTTTACACAGTAGCAGAATGCAGCGAGTCCTTTAAAGATACGAGGAGTCTCTATCTCGTCAAAGGTCTCAATATCATTGTCGTAAAACTGTGCATGCACATCGAAACTGGGAATATTTGACCAGGTTAAACGCACCACGAATTTGGTAGAAAAACCTTCCAGTGTAAAAGAGAGAGAGTAATAACTTTATTGAGAAACTGGTGATCCAAGGCGTCGGCCAAGAGCTCTTTAGTTTTAGCAGGTCTTCGGCCAGCTGGATGACCCAGTTTTGATCAGCTGGGTCGAAGCTGAGCTATATTTTTTTACATAGGGTTGATAGAGTATGAAGCAAGAACATAGTTCTGCGTTTATTTTAAACTTAATACTGTCATAAGATAGTTTAAAAAATATGTGACCTATCCCCTGAAGACTTGTTTATCTTAGGCTATACATTTGTTTATCTTAAAATATACTTTCCTGACTAATTGATGAATGCCTTCTATTGTTTCAAGCAATGGTTTGAAAAGTGTGTTTTACTTTAATTGATGTGTACCTCTCAGATTTGTGCACAATTTAGTTAGATAAAAATTGAGTCACCTGGGACTTTTTTATATATTTGAAGTAGGAGCTTGCAGGAATACATAAATTACGTACCTTAAATTTGACAATTACAGTTTTGAAAAAAAAAATTATTGCTTATTAAACAGTCATATCCTTCAAAGAAGAAACCTACAAGTTGAGAAATTCAACCTCGACTGGCGTGTAAACCGATATTTCACAACCAATTAAACTGAACTGGTAAGACGGTGAGGAATCAGTCGAAGTCAATTCACTAACTTTAACGTAAGGCGTTCTGCTTTGAACAGCCTGCCATAAAAATGTCTAATACTCCGATTCGGCAATGCGCAAATCAATTCCTGTGATATCGCGTTTACTCCTGCTTTCCGTTCTGTGCGTGTGATGTAATATGGAAAGTCAAGCATTCTGTATTTGATAAAACTAATCCAGAGCTACTTTTACCCAAGTCGCCAATGTTTAACTCTCTACATAGCTACACGCGAAATGTATCAAATTGCTATCAAATCTCTATACGTATTATTTATAATTCGTGAGAACAAACAAGAAAGTGCAAGGAATATAGCTCTGCTTTAAGACGTTCTTCCGAGCAAGAAGGCTCTTGAAGTAAAACATCGTTTAAGACAGGTGGCTTCAGTAGCCTTCATACTAAAACCGGTGTGTAACATTTAAAAAAGAAGAGGTACAAAATATTGTTTATAATCATCAATATGACACGAACAAACCAAATACAACCTGTATAATCCATGGTTGGAACCCCCTCCTTAACAAACTTGAAACGTTGAACATAGGTTCGACTCTGTTACGATAGATTATAGATCATTTCTTTCCGTGTTCGCAAAAAGTGGTGTTGAACGGCAAAATTTCGGTTTTCGCCGAGGAGAGGTCAGGTCTTTCACATGCGATTCTTTCCTGGACATTTCTTAGTTTGTGCATTATATAAACAAATATTTGATTGGAACTTTCTTTTCTATTAGGGTGAGCTGATTATTGTTTTGTGCACCAAAAATTACGACTTATGATAACGCTCACCAGTTATAGCAAGGCATAGCGAATATTCAGAGGTAACGTGAAAATTGAGCGTAAATCTGAAAAAAAAAATGTGTTCGCGTGTTGTACAAAACGTACTAAAAGTGAACATCAGCAATACGTAAACGTTGTCTTAGTCAATAACTTGTCTACTCTTACATGCTTATGGGTCAAATTGCCATTCGACCCTTCCTGGAATGCTCGTTTAGATAATGCGAGTATAAAGGCCGGAATGACACTCGACATTATTCAACGAAATTTCAAAAGTTCTCACCCCAACCTTAAAGGGATACTTCAACGAAATTTGAAATATTCTCGTGGCGTTCAAAAATAGGTTGAATATGATCCACAATATCCGTAAATGACAACCGTACGTTTGTATATTGAGCCTGGTGGCTGTATTTTTTGTTATAAGCGGCCCACTCTGGCAAGCGCTCGGAGAAGGCCCAGCGGAGACCACGTGACATCCCACACAATCGTGACGTAGGTCGCCTCTGGACGAAGAAAGCAACGGCGAGGCTGACGTCGAAAGGATGGCCTAGTCGTTCCAGCCACCGAAGCGGCTAATTTTGTACAAATTTCGAGTGACGGGTTAATCTTCTATAATCTTGTAGGGGGACAATAGAGACCTCTTCGACACACAAAAGGGATTCTCGGGAAGAGGGGAGTTCCTCCTTCCCCTCTTCTGTCGTCGTGGTCGGAGGCGAGACACTCACCGTCACTAGCTGTCAAGGTTCCTAGACGGGCATTACAAGCGAGGCGTGAGCGACGTCCACCAGGCGCTCTTTGCTAATTGTTTAATTCGTTTTAAAATTCCTTTTCGAGGCTTTTTTTTTAACAAGATATTGGTATGTTTGATGTGAAACTGCTCCTTTGAACACATATAGACCAAAAAATCAGCGCCGGAATTTCGTTGTAGTATCCCTTTAAACATATAGCTGATTTAACATGTGTTAGGACAACTTTAGAACATGAGCGTGTTGCCCGGAACCCTGTCTAAATAACCTTGATTGACAAACTGTTTCTGAGTTCGTCCTTCGAAGCTATGTGTTAAAAAAATGCTCTACTGGTATGAAAAAAAAAAAAATGAGTGGGATCTACTTCCCGCTCGTCGGAACTTAATGCGAATAATTCATTGTTATAAAAAAATAGACGTGTAACTGACAACTAGATCTACTTAAAATAACCTCATTATGTTTCTAGTCAAAAAGGCCCACGTTTTTGAACTGAGAGAGTACTCCAGTATTCAATATTAGAATGCACACAGCGCAAGTGGGCTGTCCCGAGGAAGATATGCTTTATTCAACCCTGCAAACCCCTTGCTTCAAAGCCCTCGGGCGATGCGGAGTAATTTATAGGTAAACGAAACAAAAAATGGGTCAGTGAAGGCTCACGGAAAATTGTTAGCCTTATATTCATCCTAAATATCCATTCATAAAGAGAGCGTGTCGTCAACCACAAATCGGATCCGCGCGTTGCCGACCGCAATGGCGGCTGGAAGCTGACTGTCGCGTTTTGCCAAACTCTCGAGGACTGAACTTTGATAACCACTTCCGGAGACCGCACGGCGGTTACCCAATGGCAATTTGTTGCTGACATAGTGTTCGGTTGACGTATTTGAATTCCAGCACCATTACGGTGGTTGCTGCTGTGTCGTAAAAGCAACGCAGCTCTCACACGTCCTCGGTGCAGCTGGCGAGGTAGAAGCAAAGTCAGAACAGCTAGCCGAGGCTCCGAACACCAAAGCCCGTCGACAGTCTTGTATTTTCCGGTATAACTTAGAATCCTCCTCTGATCGCCCAAAGTGACAGTTTCGTAAACGCGGCAGCAGTCGCGCGAAAGGCTGGAAGATATATGTACAGTTTTGGCGACGTTTTTGTGCGCGACTTCTAAAGAAAATAGGAGGCAGAAAAAGAGGTACATACTAGAAAGAGTTTAGCGGAACGCCGGCCAAATTGTTCTTGTGAGGCTTACAGGCCGAACGGTAGAAAAAAGATTGATGTTGAATCAATCGCTGTCAAAGGGCGTATTTTGGAATATTATAGCCTTCACGATTAAGTGGGCGTGTGGTTATTTTTGAGGAAGTGCTTTTTTTGTAATAGATTAGAAGGTTTGAGCTGAAAGGTGTGTAATTATAATGCAATTAAAATGCAAAGGTGCAAGCGAGCTGGACAAGAATGACGAAAGTAATCCCTGGAGAAGGGGAACAAGAGGGACAAAGGACAAACATAAATCTCCAAACACAGCTAGGTGACTGGTGAGCGACCGAAAAAATCCGCCTGGTCCGGGTATCGAACCCGGGACCTCTCAGTTACAAGTGGAGCGCTCTACCAACTGAGCTAACCAGGGGTTAGACGTCAGTAGAGCAAACGGGTTTTAACAGCTGCCACCAGTCGAACACCAACCAGGGTGAGGCTTGCAATTTAAGGTTATAATTATAATGCAATTAAAATGCAAAGGTGCAAGTGAGCTGGACATTATCGAACATGGGTTAATCGTCCTACTCGAAAAATATCTGAGGCACGTAAAACATTTTACAACGCTCCGAAAAAAAAAATCGATCAGGACATGTTTCCAGGTTTTGGTTTCCTATCATAGCTCATGTCATCTCCGTGTCAGCGAATCTGATCTCCCTAGCCAAAGCATGCAACTATACTTCGTTTCACATTATGTTCGGACACTGTCGACGATCCGATCTGATGGCACCAATCAGACAGCGTGTCAAAAGCGCACCTTCATGGTGTTCGTCATGTTTATGTACTTGAGCTGTCATCGCAAAAATCGATCATAAAAAAGGTCAATTGACTTGCGCATTGCCGCTGCTTGTTTGGTCCCATTAGCTCGTTGCATCGGTTGC